TTTTACTGTTTACGTCGATCAACTTTCAATAAACGCCGCTCCTGCGGATTCCCCCCCCCCGATTTTACTGCGTTTTGTTATTTATTAATTGTAATTTTATTTTCCTACATAAACCAACCCAGCATTTTATCCTTTTTATTTAAAGTATGTGAACCAATAAAAAAGAGTAAAATGGAAAAGTAAAAAGGTAACGAAGCAAAAAATATATGTCTCGTACGAACCATGTTAATTGTTCATTGTCGAAATGTACATTTTCATTTTCTAATTCTTTTATCTTTGCAAGCATATGTCGTAGACCTTAAATATTTGAAATATTAAGTAAACTTACATTATTAAAAATTTATAGGTTTGGTAAAATATTTAGTTCCTGTGAACTGTTAAAAAACAAGATCAATAAACAAATGATTAAGTTATTTACAAACTAAATAAATTTATGTCAAACAAAAGATATTAATTATATTTGTATACACCTAAATTTACTCTAATAAGGATCACGGCATGTCTTAATAAAACCTATTTGATGTGAAGGGCCTGGGGAGTATAATAATAAATTATAATCTCTCTTTGTATCCAGAACCCACTCCCCCCCCCCCTTGTAGTTCATACACTTATATCCTAGATAAACCATAGATGAGTAAATAGTATATATTATGTATAAATTGTATTTCAGTTTACTTTTCCATCAGCCCTCAATCAAACTTTAACCCTATCAACCTCTCACATTTATTGCTACCTTCCTTTTCCAACCCAATCTCTTCTCCTCTACACGCCCTTATCCTTTGTTAATTTCCTGACCTGGCAACGCATCCTTATTCAATCGCTTCTCTGTCCTATACCGCCCTATCCTTAGTCACTTCTCTGTCCTGTGCAAGCTCCTATCCTTAGTCGCTTCTCTGTCCTGTGCAAGCTCCTATCCTTAGTCACTTCTCTGTCATGTACACGCCTCTATCCTTAGTCGCTTCTCTGTCCTATAAACGTCCTTATCCTTATAAACTTCTCTGTCCTGTACACGTCTCTATCCTTATGTCAATTTTCTGTCCTGTGCAAGCTCCTATCCTTAGTCACTTCTTATGTCCTGTACAGGCCCCTATCCTTAGTCGCTTCTCTGTCCTATACACGCCCTATCCTTAGTCACTTCTCTGTCCTGTGCAAGCTCCTATCCTTAGTCGCTTCTCTGTCCTGTGCAAGATCCTATCCTTAGTCACTTCTCTGTCATGTACACACGCCTCTATCCTTAGTCGCTTCTTTGTCCTATAAACGTCCTTATCCTTATAAACTTCTCTGTCCTGTACAAGCTTCTATCCTTATGTCACTTTTCTGTCCTGTGCAAGCTCCTATCCTTAGTCACTTCTCTTCCTGTGCAAGCTCCTATCCTTAGTCACTTCTCTGTCCTATGCAAGCTCCTATCCTTAGTCACTTCTCTGGTCTATACACGCCTCTATCCTTAGTCGCTTCTCTGTCCTGTACACGCCTCTATCCTTAGGCACTTCTCTGTCCTGTCCTCTATCCTGTGTAAGCTCTTATCCTTTGTTAATGTTCTGTCCTAGCTGTGGATGCTCCTATTTTAAGTAAATTCAACTTTTTGTCCTTCACATGTTCTCAACCTGCCATTTTTCACTTTACAAAATATTTTTCCTGTCCCAAAATTTTCCCAAACGGAGCTTTTAAATAGCTCGTGCCATGTGTCCATTACTTAACCCCTTTCCAACCTCCAACCCCTTTTTTGTTTCTATCCTCCCCCCTCTTCCAATCCTCTTCCCACGTGTTCCATGCATCCATCAATTTAGTTTCTCTCTTGAATGACCATGTAAGGGCTGATGGTTAAAATTTGTCATGGAGGAATCATGAATTTACCCCTTCTTCTCTACCCTTCCCCCTTCCCCTTTTCTCTCCGCCCTTCCTCTTTTCTCTCCCCCTTTCCTCTTTTCTCTCCACCATTCCTCTCTCCTCTCCCCCTACTACTCTTCTCTCTCCCCCCATAACCCTCTGCTACCTTTATTTTCTACCCTATACCCATTACCCATCATTATAATGATACCTTGCGATGATATTATCACGGTCCTACTCGAATCAACATTATTCTTAACTAAATATAAAATTCGTGATGGTCATTCAAAAATAAGAAAACGGAAAATGATCCCTTTAGTTTCCAATCAAATCTGGGTTCCCTATATTGTCTTTAATGAAAAACTGTGTAGAGAAGGTCAATGAAAACTTCTAAAACATTGTTTATACCTTAAACTATTTGTTTTAAACGGATAAGTAGATTTTGACTTTACATTTAAAAATCATTTGTTGTTTGGTTTTAAACATATTCTTTATAATTCTTTTCATCAGTCGAAAAAAACTATGATGGTAGGAGATTATATCAATATAATGAAGACGACTTTCGACTTCAATTATGATTTACATTACACTTTTAAACATCATAAATACACAAAAACGTGGAGTCAAAGAGAAGATGTCAATTAAAAAGGCTTCTCTTTAATTACTTGTAAAAATTCAAAAAAAGCTTGTTAACAATTAAAACTTGAATAAAAAGTCGTATTCATTATATTGATATAATCGCCTACCATCGTACAAGATTATATTTTTGTTGAATTGACGCACATTTTGAATTTCATGAATCCTGAAAGTCCGTGTTGACTAAAATGTTAAGCTTTAAGAGAGAATGATGGATATAAAGTAAATATGTTTAAATTTAGAATTTTTAAAGTGGAAAAATATATTTGTATTTATTTTGTGATCCAATCAAAATAAATATAAAATGTTATTTTAGATTTTTCAGCAGATTCTTTTTATTATCAACATAAGTCACATAAAAACAGAGTTGATTCAAACAAACAGACAAACAGAGGAATTAACGGACAAACATCAAAACGCACACTGGGAGAAGTGCATCTCATTGAGGTTTCCTAGAGTAGATATATAGCCTGGTATATAAATACTAATTGATCATTAACTCTCTAATTATTCACCATGATTACCATTTACTCAGATAAATCAGGCATCATGGACCACCATCCTATTCTTCTAAAAGATATTTGTTTTATTAAAGGGGATGAATACATACTGTAAGTACCTGACATGTCCGATTCACAACTCTGTAATTTTAGTTCTTTTTGTCTCTGGCACTCTGCTGCATGAAGTAAAAAGTCGCATTGATAAAACCACACAAGAAAAGATCAATTTTCTTATGGAAAAACAAGGATATTTTTAAATATTTGCTCTGACAATGGTTTACTGAAACGGGCATTTTTTCTTGAATTAAAAAGGGTTGCCTGGCATTTTGTCGCTGCTCTTCTAAATACGATATTACTCCCTCATCGATCAATTGGTTTTATTATTAACCATGTTTTGGGACACCCTGTATTTAAAATGATGATGATTTGATAAAGAGTAATGATACCATCTACTGAAGTATATATATAAGTATATATTCCATTATCATTACAAACAAGTTGAAATTTAGCTCAAATTCAAGGAGGAACTTAAATGTCGTCGTCTTTTTTCCTCAGCTTACTATTGAAATGGTTCTGTACACAGCACAGGGTTTCCAAAAAAGGATAGGAAATTCATATTTTCTTATATTTTTTAATACTTTGTGCAATCGTGAACTTGTTTATTTCTGCGCCAAATCATTAAATAAGCCATTGAAATAATATTTTCATGGCAGAAGAATTAATTTAAATCAATTAGGATCATCATAAATCTTTAGAGTTCAAAGTCGTCTTTACAGTCTCATCCTTTCAGGGTAGTCTAATAGGTTCTAAGCAACACTTTAAAGATTTCCAAGTATCCAGAAAAGTTTTGCATCTCGCAAACTTTACAACAAACCGGATACAGCCATAAATTACACTTAACCTAACTCCATATTTTCCTTTTAAATGTAATTTGTATGAAAATATATCTAGTGCACTCTATCTGAAAACTTTTAATCAAATTTTAAAATCAAAAAGTTAAAAGTATGATTTGAAGGCTGAATGAGATTTCAATATTCTTGGAGAAAAGAATTATTAATCAGAGCTGAGGGGAAAGTGAGTTAAGAGAAAATCTAAGAATAATTTTCTCTTGAATTTGAGAGCTAGTTAGAGGCGGGGNAAAAAGAGGTGCCGCTAAAAATATGTTTGGTTAGGAAGGGGGTAATACATGATGATAAAACTGCACATTAAATAATCCCGTATGGAGTCTTTTTGATACATAAAAATCCAGCAAATGTAAAAAATAAGATAAGGAAGGATAAAACGATGTAAACTCCGGTTACAGGACCGAATTGTACACAGCTAGAGCAAACTGCACAGCACCTTTGCCAATACAAATATGAGGCTAAACGGGACCGTAAATCAAATGATTTATCCCCTTCTGGTGAAATTTATGCGAAAAACAACATTATTATGATTCTGAATTGAATTTTAAAACATATTTTTAATTGGTCTACAACACAAGTTGTTCCATGACAAAACAACTCCAAATGCATAATCAATATAACATTTTAACCAGGGGGCGGGCATAACTCTCCTAATTTTGCCTGGCTAGGTTTAACTAATATCTCGATGATTTTAACTTTAAACGTTCATGTTTAGCGAAACAGACTGTACAAGTGTACAGTGTAAAATGTATATAAACTAGACTTTTAAGACGCTTTGCGCCGATCTTCCATTCCATTTCAACTTATAAATTGTGGCCCTATATGTGAGCATTTAAATTCTCTTTGTACAATATAAAACAAAAACAAACAAAAAATTAAGGGAATTAATAATATTTTTTCGTGCATTTTCAAAATTTTACAAAAATTTAAAACTTTTGGACACTAATTTTTGTTATTTTGAGCATCAACATAGCTTTCTGGGGTCATTTAAGGTCACACACAAAATTTGGGCCCGATCGGTTCAGCCGTTTTGACGTTTATTGGATACAAACGGGCAGACAAACAGTGATGAACTGTATCCCAGTTTATATATTTATGTAGATGATATGCCATTATAAAAATGAATATTTAGATGTTGTATTTGGACTGGAGATGATAGAATCCCCCCGGGACCTGGTTGTAGCCAGGAATGAGCCGGTAACCCTAAACTGTAAGGTCCGGGGGGACCCGGAACCTACAGTTCTATGGTTTAAGGTAAATATTCAGTTATCATTTTCTTTTCTTGAAGGTAAATTTCGGATATTTGGGTGATGTGGAAGTTATTAAAAGGATTATAATTCTATCTATATATATCTACTATTTATACATCTATCTATCTATCTATCTATCTATCTATCTATCTATCTAGGATGGAGAGGAGGTAGTAACAGCTAAAGATGATCCTCGCTCCCATAAGATTCTTCTACCTGATAACGGTTTATTCTTTCTCAGAGCAGTTCACAGTAAGAAGGTAAAGGTTTGCACCGTTGAATAATCTCATTTTTTGATGGCCTTTATTTTCATCAGACGCAAGGCAATGAAAACTTCGGTTTATTAAGCTCGAGTTTTAAGCAGCAAGTTGTTTACAGTATACACATACACACAGGCTACAGACGGTTAAACGAGATAGTAGTACACCACATGAACCATCCCCTTCTAGGGATAGTACACCACGTGAACCATCCCCTTCTAGGGATAGTACACCACATGAACCATCCCCTTCTAGGGATAGTACACCACATGAACCATCCCCTTCTGTACACCACATGAACCATCCCCTTCTGTACACCACATGAACCATCCTCTTCTGTACACCACATGAACCATCACCTTTTAGGGAAATTAATGTGGTGAATACCTTTCCTTTCTGAATGTTTTATAGTTGCAAACTATTAAAAATCATTTGGGGAATGAATACAAGGTTTCCTTGAATAAATTTACAGACAAAAGTTTTTTTCTTTAAAAAGAAGGGAATTCGTTGCTTGTTTTTCTGTGTTTGTTTGTTCTCCTGAACAATCGGATAAAATTCCTATGTATTTGGATGTAAACAACAATTTTCCAAAAAGAAATCGATGTTTTTATGTTGTTCTAGAACTCATCATGGTTTTATAAATGTTGTGGTAATTTCCTAGAGGGCGCTTTTAGGACCCCCCCCCCCCCCATCTAACGTTTTTTACTCTTTAGGAGAAGGATTCTGGTGTGTACTGGTGTACTGCAACAAACACAGAAGGAACTATATCTAGCTCAAGAGGAAAACTTGATGTAGCTTGTAAGTTCTATTATTTTCTTACAATTATGATGTTATGGTTTTAAAAAACGCTAACCTTAAAAGTGATTCCATTTTTGGTTCTTCGTCAGAAAAAGAAATTCATAAAGACGACTCCTTATAGAATTTAAGGTTTGTATACGTATTTTCTAAAAAGAAAAAAAAACGTTTACGCTTCTAAGGTCATCTTCAGAGAAATTCTTTCAGTAACAGTTAATGAAACATTTAATTTTCAACAAAAAAAAAAACAGTTTTCGTTCAAGTTCCATTCATGAAGCAAACTTCAAACTTTAGTAAATTTCAATTTAGAATCGATGTTTAATTAAAATTAGCTAGAATCTACGAGATTATAAAGTCATACCAGTAATTTTGCATAAATGTGAGCTTTTTAATCCTTACTTCTAGAGTGGTTTGATTGTCAAGTATAAACTGCATACTGTAGTGTACTGTATCCTGTATAACGTTATTCGTACTGTATTCCTTTGCACAGAATAGAAATCATTTCCTAACTGCATAAATGCATTTAATATTTATATACTGCATTATAGTTTAAGAGATCAATTTACTATTTGAAAAGCTTTTACCTAAAGCAAGAATTGCAACGATTTGCATTTGCTGGATAACTATATGTATAAATACAGGGTTATTCACAAAAGATGAGACTCTGTAACGACTAATACTCACGTCATTGGTGCAACCCTTTTCTTGAGTTGTTTGTTCTCTACACTGCATTAAGGCCAAGTTTAATCCTTTAGATTTGAAAGTCGTTAGGTCTTTTTCAAAGTCTTATCCTTTGTGGGTATTCCACTCTGGGTCATAGTAAATTTGAATTCGAACAGGACCTGCCCAGTTTGTACCGGCCTGCCAGATAACAGCGTGTACTGACCCGACCCTATGGTACAGTACGTCGCCCTAACCAGACTAACATACGACAGGGGTCAATTTTCTTGGCATAGTCGCGTCGGAGGGCTAACTAAGACAACTCCCATGGCGCGTTCAGACTTTTTACAGTACCCGGCCTAATCCTAGGCCTATTTGACCGACCCCACTTGCTTAGTTCACCGTGATTCCTGTATATAAATATTTAAATATAATATACATATAAAATCTAAATAGGAAATTTAAATTTTAAAAATTTAGTTTCACAATAACCTTTGTTTTATATCGAACTTGACAAAATTATTTCAAATTTTTAAAATCACGAAAATTTTTGAAATGAAGAATAAGGAGATACAAATTGTAAGATATTCCGAACATCCTGATAATTTGATATTTTCATAAAAATTTTCGAAATTAAGAAAAAAGCATTAGTGGTTATTCTAACAGTGCACACATTTTAGCAACTATAAAACTCTAATAAAGGAATTGAATTCTTGTCACACACTCTGTTTTCAAACTATAAGTTGATATGTCAGATAAAATAGTTTAAGTTTGAAATATCAAAGGTACACCGTCAGGTTGCAAAGATATATGGATTAGACAATTTGTGTCTCTGTCAAAAACTCAGTTCCTTGATGAAATATCAAATAAATATTATATCTGGATTCATGTATTAATCTCGACATAAAAGCAGGTTCTGCTAGTTTTCCTGTGAAACTAAGAGGATAATTTGATGAGTAGGGGGGGGGGGGGATAATCCCCCTCATTTTCATTATACAATTACCCCAGGGCAATAGAGTAATTTAAATACTTTCAGAAAACTTAATTTCCGGAGAATCTAGGTGTAGGGTTCCCTTGTAGTAATATAATATAATAAACTTTTATTAGAATCAAAATATTATTTCTGTTAACAAATATGTACATTGTACACATACAGTACACATTACTTACATCCCGTGCAGTGCTGTGCAATCAAACAAACTTTAAAAAGTTCAGTTAAACATTTGTATGTTCACAATTTTTTCATCCCCATAAACTTTAAAATCTTTGATTCTTTCTTGATATTACTGGATTACTGGAAATTTGTTCGCTGGGAGATCACTTTTGTGACATTTTCAGCGAGTCAATATATCTTTTTTGTTTCTACTGATAGTGCATTAAGTTAAACCAGGGATCTCGGCGCCACTGACACCTATCACATTGAAGAAATATGTTTGTCATACATATTCTTAAAACTAATCAATGAGGTGGCATTTTTAATGTCTATTGGCAAGCTGTTCGATCTTTTAATAACTCTCAAGCTAAAGATTTTTTTCCTAATATCTAGGTTGCACTGTTTTGAGTTGAGGTTCATATTGCATTGCATGTAGTAAACCTTGTTTCTCGTTGAGCTGTGTCTACAGACCTTGTAAACCATGTACCTTCTTTTACATTATTATCATGCTTATGGAGAATCTTCCAAGTCTGGATTAAATCTCCTCTTATTCTTCTTTCTTCTAAGGTGGTCATGTTGACCTCCTTTAATTGATCAAGGTATGAGGTACTATGGAGGCCTGAAGTCATTTTTAAAACTCGTTTTTGAACACTCAAGCAGCTCAATATCTGATTTAAGCCAAGGTGACCAAGCCTGAACACAGTACTCTAGNGGGGTCAGCGCTTATATGATTCTGATAATAATGATAAGTTAAAACAAGACTCCAGATTGAATGTAGTTAAGTGAATGGATAAATGTTTAATAGAATTGTGTTTTGATGGTTAATGAAATAGTTGTTTTGCCCGCACAATCCGCCATGTTTTTATTCCTTTTGTAGTTTATTAAAAAGGGGGAAAAGGGGAGATTGAATGAGGAGGGGGGGGAAAGGGGGGAATTTTGTTCAACACAAGTTTTTGCTTTTCTAAATTAATTCTTTTTATTCATAAAAGAGAAGAGCAAAGCAAGCAAATAATGCCTTGGGCATATTTTGGTAAAATTTACAGCTTATCAAACTATTTTGCACAGTTTGGTCGGGTTTTTACTTTATTAAACTATCTTGCGCAGTTTGGTAGGGTTTTTACTTTATTAAACTATCTTGCACAGTTTGGTAGGGTTGGGTCATAGTAAATTTGAATTCGAACAGGACTTGCCCAGTTTGTACCGGCCTGCCAGATAACAGCGTGTACTGACCCGATCCTATGATACAGTACGTCGCCCTAACCAGACTAACATATGACAGGGGTCAATTTTCTTGGCATGGTCCAGTTGGAGGGCTGACTATGACAACTCCCATTGTGCGTTCAGACTTTTTACTGCAGTATCCGGCCTAATCCTAGGCCTATTTGACCGACCCCACTGGCTTAGTCCACCGTG